TTTTGAGTCTTGTTTAAGAAAAATTTTTCTACCATGAGTATATGAAGGTATTTTTCTATATTAAATTCTTGTGTTTTTTTTTTAAAGATTTTACCCATTTATTTGACAGAGAGAGAGAGTCGCAGAGGGGGAGGGAGAAGCAGACTCCCTGCAGATTAGGGAGCCCGATGTGGGACTCGATCCCAGGACCCTGAGATCATGACCTGAGCTGAAGGCAGAGGCTTAACCAACTGAGCCACCCAGGCGCCCCTCTATATTAAATTCTTAAAGCTCTTTGGTTTTGCTTCTCACATTTGGGTTTTGAATCTGCCTAGAGTTATTTTTGTGTTGTAAGGATCCAATTTCATTTTTTTCAATATGGATAACAGATTGTTCCATTTATTGAAAGTCCAACCATTTCCCACTGGTCTCACAATACCTCCTTGGCTACCTATTCTGAGTCTACATATAAGTGGGTCTGTTTCTGAGACCACTGGTCTTTCATTAGTCTATTTGTCTACCTTTGCAGCAGTATCACACCATCTTAATTGCTCTACCTTACATTAAGTATGGGTGTTCTGGCTAGTTGGCACTTCCACATAAATTTAAGAACTAACCTGTTATGATACGCAGACACGCAAATCTATTGAAATCGTGCCTGGATTTACATTGAACCTACAAAACAGTTCAGAGGGAACTGACAGCTTTATGACATTGACTCTTTCATTCAATAACATGTGTATCTATTTATTTAATCTTTTAAAATGTCTTTCAGTAAGGTTTTATATTTTTTTACTAAAAGATCTTGCCCTCTTGGGGCGCCTGGCTGGCTCAGTTGGTAGAGCATGTAACTCTTGATCTCGGGGTTGTGAGTTTGAGCCCCACATTGGGTGTGGAGATTACTTAAAAACAAAATCTTTTAGGGGTGCCTGGGTGGCTTAGTCGGTTAGGCTGCTGCCTTCGGCTCAGGTCTCTGACCTGAGCCCAGGGTCGCGGGATCGAGCCTCACATCGGGCTCCTTTTTCAGTGGGGAGCCTGCCTTTCCCTCTCCCTCTGCCTGCTGCTCCCCTTGCTTGTGCTCTCTCTCTGTGTGTGTGTCAAATAAATAAATAAAATCTTAAAAAAATTAAAATCTTTTATTTATTTATTTATTTATTTATTTATTTATTTATTTATTTATCTGGCAGAGAAAGAGCACATAAGCAGGGGGAGCAGCAGAGGGAGAGGGAGAAGCAGGCTCCCCGCTGAGCACGGAGCCCAACTAGTGGCTCGATCCCAGGACCCCAGGATCATGACCTGAGCTGAAAGCAGACACTTAACTGACTGAGCCACCCAGGCGCCCCAAAAATAAAATCTTTAAAAAAAAAAAAAAGATCTTGCCCTCTTTTGTTAATTTCTAAGTAGTCCATAAATGGTGTCTTTATTAAAATTTTGTCTGTTGTTAGCATATAAAAGCAATTGATTTTTGAATGTGCATTTTTGTATCAGAAATCTTTTTAAATTCTTAATAATTCTAATAATTTGTCAATAGATTATTTTGGATTTTCCACATACACAATGGTATCATCTACAAATAATGACAATTCTGTTCTTCATTTCCAATCTTTAAATATTTTTAATTTCTTTTCCTTGCCTTTCCTTGCCTTACTGTGGTTGCTAGGACCTCCAGTACAATGCTGAGTAGAAATGGCAATAGCAGGCATCCTTGCCACGTTCCAAATGTCAGAGCTCTTAAAATTTCATTTGAAGTATGTAGTTTACTATAAATCCTTGTAGATAGATACCGTTTATGTTAAGAAAATGTATTCAACTGGGGCGCCTGGGTGGCTCAGTCATTAAGCGTCTGCCTTTGGCTCGGGTCATGATCCCAGGATCATGGGGATCAGGCTTTCTGCTTCATGGGAGGCCTGCTTCTCCCTCTCCCACTCCCCCTGCTTGTGTTCCCTCCCCCCCCATTAAATAAATAAAAATTTTTAAAAATTAAAAAAAATGTATTCAACTAATCTGGTAAGGTTGTTTTTTTGTTTTTTTTTCAAGTCAGCTCCATGCCCAGTGTGGAGCCCAACTCGGGACTTGGACTTAACAACCCTGAGATCAGGACCTGAGCCGAGATCAAGAATCTGATGCTCAATCAACTGAGCCACCCAGGTGTCCCTTGCTAAGGTTTTTATTTTTATTTATTTATTTATTTTTAAAGATTTTATTTATTTGACAGAGAGAGATACAGTGAGGGAGGGAACACAAGCAGGGGGAGGGGCAGAGGGAGAGGGAGAAGCAGGCTTCCTGCAGAGCAGGGAGCCCGACGCGGGGCCCGATCCCCGGATCGTGGGATCATGACCTGAGCCGAAGGCAGACGCGCAACGACTGAGCCACCCAGGCGCCCCCCTTGCTAAGGTTTTTAAAATGAAGAGTAGAGGGGCACCTGGGTGGCTCAGTCAGTTAAGCATCCAACTCTTGATTTCGGCTCAGGTCATAATCTCAGGGTTGTGGGATTGGGCCCCACCACGGGCTCTGCACTCAGTGTGGAGTCTGCTTGTCCTTCTCCTTCTGCTCCTCCCACCCCTCTCAAACAAATAAATAAAATCTTTCAAAAAATAAAATCATGAATAGATGTTAAATTTTATCCAACCCTTTCTCTATACTTATTGAGATTATTGTGGTTTTTCCTTTAATATATTAATGAATAAACTTTTGTTGACTGAGTTCAAATGTTAAACCATGTTGCAGTTTTAGAATAAATCCAACTTGGTTATACTACACTTTTTAAATATACTGGATGTAGGCAGTGCTAGAGACTGAATGATTGTGTCCCCTCACAAGTTTATGTTGAAATGTAATCCCCAGGGGCACCTGGGGGGCTCAGTCGTTAAGCGTCTGCCTTCGGCTCGGGTCATGATCCCAGGGTCCTGGGATGGAGCCCCACATCGGGCTCCCTGCTCAGCTCTCCCCCTGCTTGTGTTCCCTCTCTTGCTGCGTCTCTGTCAAATAAATAAATAAAATATTAAAAAAAAGAAAGGTAATCCCCAATGTGATGGTATTAGGAGGTGGGGCCTTTGGGAGGTGATTAGATCATGAGGGTGGAGCCTTCACAAATGGGATGAGTGCCCTTATAAGAAACCCTAGGGGCACCTGGGTGGCTCAGTCGGCTGAGCGTCTGCCTTCGGCTCTGGTCATCATCCCAGGGTCCTGGGATCAAGCCCCACATCAGGCGCCCTGCTCCGCGGGAAGCCTGCTTCTCCCTCTCCCACTCCCGCTGCTGTGTTCCCTCTCTCGCTGTGTCTCTCTGTCAAATAAATAAAATCGTTAAAAAAAAAAAAAAAGAAAGAAAGAAACCCCGAAGAGTAACCTTGCCCCTTCACTATGTGAAGATACCACAAGAAGACAGCCATCTATGAACCAGGACGTTGGTCCCCACCAGACCCCAAATCTGCAGGTGTTTTGATCTTCAACTTCCCAGCCTCTGGCACTCTGAGAAATAAATGTTTGTTGTTTTTGAGCCACCTAGTCTACACTATTTTGTTACAGCTGCCTAAGCAGACCAAGACAGGCAGCTATTTAGTTTAAGGTATTTGTACATTTTCTTGAGATCTGTAATATTCTTTTTTCACTCATCAAGTTTTAGTATCAATGTTCTATCAGCCCCATAAAACGAATTAGAAACGCTCCCTTTTATGGCGCTCTGGAATCCCTTTTGTAAAATCAGAATGATTTGTTCCTTGAGTGTTTCACCAGTGAAGCCACCTGGGCCCAGAGTTTCTGTGTGGGAAGACTTCTGGCTATAGATTCTGTTACTTTAATGGTCATAGGACTACTCAACTTTTCATCTTTTTTTTTTTTTTTGAGACAGTTCTGGCAAGTTACATGTTTGTAGTAATTTGACTAATTTGTCCATTTTATCTAACTTCTCAATCCAGTTGGCAGAAAGTTGCCTTTTTGGACATTGAGCAAATTATCACATCAATGGAAGACCGTGGACACATGTTTGGTCTTTGGTATTTGACCAAGTGAGAATATCCTCTTTGAAAGACAGATAAAATGAGTGTGTGTTGAGTTTGTTTTCAGTACCTATTTTCTACTTCCAGACTTCTGCAATGCTATTCCTTCTGACTGGACTGCCCTCTCTTCCCCTTCACTAGCTGGTGGATTCCTTCTCATTTTTTAATTCAGTTCAGGCACCATGCCCTCCAAAAGGTTTCCAAAGTCCCCACACTGGGCTGAGCATCTGTTCTGAGGCCCCCATCGCTGCTAATGCGCTAACCACACTGCAGTAAAATCCTTTCTCTGTATCTGTCTCCCCCACTAGACTGTGAGATCCTTCCCCTGTGTTCTCAGAGCAGAGGAGAGGTGGTCGGTCAACATTTGTGGAACTGAACTGAGCTTGTCACCCCTGAATGCCCAACTAAGTTCTCTTAACCATGTCTCTGTATTTTCCCACATCCCTTTATTTGTTCCATCATGTATTTCATTCAGTAGGCATTATTGAGGACTCACTAGGTGCTGGGCACTGTTCTAGAAGAGTGGCCAACGAGGAAAGAGGAAAACTAAGCAAGTGTGGTGTCCTGGAAACCAAGTAAAGAGAGATTTCAAGGTTGCGAGGATGACCAACTGTGTAAAATGTTGCCAGTGGGTCAAGGAAGATGAAGACTGGGATGTGGCTGTTGATAGACCAATTGTATATCATCAGTGACTTCAGCACTTTTGCTGAAGTGGCTGGGCAAACAATCTGATTGGGGCTGTTTCTCAGAAAAGCCCTGGAGCCCTGGAGAAGAATGGAAGAAAGTTGGTGTAAAGTTTTGCTGTGAAGGGAAGTAAATAAATATATGGTGTTTTGTTTTACTAATGCAGAGATTTTTATTTGCATGCAGTAAATATATCTATCCTTTCTTTCAAAGCTTCTGGGTTTCCTGTTTTGAATTAGAAAGGCAAAATCTGTGGACAACAACTCTGGTATGAATTCTTCATAGCACATTAACTCCTCTCTCTCTCCCTTGTGAGACTTTCCCAGTCTTGGGGACAGAGGGGTCTCCCTCCTGGTGTCATTGGCTTTTTTTTTTTTTCAGGAACCTCAAAACCTTGTGGCTGATTCACAGCCAGTATTCCCACATCTACAGCTGACTACATCCACCGCTGCGGCCACGTGTTGGACACCAAACCCTCATATGGCAATCAATCATTCTTCCTCCCTCCCTGGCAGAATATAGAAAATACCGAAAGGAGCCACCCCTCCAAAGACCACCAGACCACACGGGGTAGGACCATAAGGTGAGGTGACACACTGAAGCCGCGGCAGCAGGCATGAACGTGTCCCACGCCCAACTCCCCACCCTGCCCCTCCCACAGAACATGACCACCCCACACACTCAGGCCCAAACAGGAGAACACTGTACAGCAAGACAGATCATTTCTCATAGAGCTCTATTGTGGCATATAATAATAGGTACTCTATATAAATTAAATTAAAAATAAAGCTCCAGCAGGTTGCACAGGTTGGCTGTTAATAAATATATCTCTGGGTAATTGTGCCCCAAGACCAGCTCACGACCACTCTCCCTCATCCAGAGAATTATACAAAAATAAATACAGGCTTGGGGGGGGGGGAGGGGAAAGGGAGGACATGCCCAGTTCCTCTCTGAAAATCATCTCACACCGTCCACCATGCCCTGTTCCCCTCCACTGGTATCACCGCAGGGAGCCCCGGGCCGACAAGTCCTCAGGGACCGGAAGGTCTCTCTCCAGTCGGGCATTCTCAGAAGCAAAAGACCCCTCACTATACAGGCCACACATCCTATCTGAATCCCCTGGGGGTGGTGTAGGGACGGCCTCTCCCCACACCCCAGAGAGGGGGGGAAGCCTGTTATTGCTCCCCCCCCACAAGCAGCCTCTACGAGAACCAGGCCAGAGAGAGGCACAGCGCAAGCACCAGGAGGGACATACCACTGTTCAGAGCCACAGGGACCACCACCAACCCAGCCAGGACCCCCAGAGTCTGGGTCAAGGGCCCCCGGAGCTGGGGAGGAAATACACACACACATTCTGCAGGGGCTGCTAAGGTGGGAGACTTCTTTGGGGACTCAAGGCTTGGGCCTGAACCCTCTTCATCCTGGGAGCTCACGTGAGGCCTGGCCAGGCTAGAAGGACAGACTTCGGCCCCGGAGGGACCAAGGAGGGTGAGACTTTGCCCCCGTAGGACTGGAGCAGCTAGCTCCTTACCAGGTATAGGAACCAAGCTGTCTGCCCACTCAGTGGTAAACTCCATCCGGCCTTCTTTCCCCCCTGGGGACCCGGTCACCCCAGCGGTCACCCTACTTATACGCAAAGAGTCGGTGTCCTTGCCCATCCCCTTTGCTGGAGCCCCAGTGAACTGACCCTCTGCACCCAGAACCACGGGGCTGTCACAACCCGAGCCCTCTGCCCACGGGAGCCACACATCTCCCATAGTGGCTACCACAGAATGGGCCCCCGAGAGGATTTCCGGAGGCGATTCCTTGGGGGTGTCCCCTTCGGGGCTGGAGGGTATAACAGAGAGTCCCTCTTCACCCTCCCCCTCCTCGTCAGGGTCCTCAGTGTCCTTGATAAGCTCCACACCACGCCCCAGCCGCGCATAGTGCAGTGTGATCTCCTCAGCCAGGGCACTGTTCAGGGCCCGCTCGGGGCCAGGCCACTTCAAGATCAGGTCGCGGTCCGTGAGTATGCCCAGGGCATGGCTGGGGGACACCCCCCCATCTGTGGGGCCCTCCCCGCCACCCCCTGCCCCACCTGCAGCCACAGAAGCCCGCAGGCGGCTCAGGTGGGACAGGTAGAGCTGCTCCAGCTCCTGGTCAATGGTGTCCTCGCCAAGCAGCTCCTCCAACCCACTCACGACCTCCAGACCCCCAGGGGGTTCATCCATTACGGCCCCCACCACGGAGTCCTTCTGGCCCCCTCCATTCTCTCTCGATACTTCCCACGTGGCCTCCACCTGTTGCTGGCTGGGTTCCAGGAGAGGCCCGGCTGCCCCCTCACTTGAATCAGGCCCCGAGGCCTGGTCCCTGGGAGAGCCACCCAGGCCACAGAGAGAGGAAGAGGGGAGGATCCTGATGGCCGGCGCCTGGGGGACCTCCGTGAAAGCCACAGGCGGATTGCTTCTGGGGACGTCACCTTCCTCTGGGGGTTTGCCAGTCACTGTAACTTCAGAAACCTAGAGCCATTGGGAGGGTGGCAGGGCAGGAGGGGAGAGAAAGGGAAAGGAATGAAGTAGAGGAGGGGAGGGGACAAGCAGAGACAGTGAGAGTGGGCGACAGCCCACACCCAGGCCCACAGGTGTTTCCAGACAAAACCCTCCTTAAAGAGCCCTCTCTAATTCTCCAAACACTAAAGCCTATGTCATCTATATTAAAATAACCAAATCAGATGGAATAAAAGGGGACTCCTGCAGATCATAAAGCTAAGGAAGGCAGCGGGCACCAACATTTGGTGAAGAGCTCTCAGTAAATACTGTCGGCTGACCTCTAAAACAGATGCAGAATACCCACATGAATTCATGTATTTTCTCTTTTAAAAACATTTATTTTGACAAGGCCTAGAAACAATGGCCTATCTAGCAGCAACAAGCACACTGAGCACCCAGATCCTGCTTTCTAAATACCATTCTCCCCTAAAAGGAACCAGAGCTTTCTAACTAAATGGCTGCTCCCAGGTTTGGGGCAGGGCAAATATGAGATGAGTCTAGGACACATTGTCATTCTAGCATGTGAAGGAGTGGACCAAGAATGATGGGGATGTGTTCAAAAGGACTCTGGAACCAATGTAAACAAGCTCCCACTGACCGGAGAGAGTTCAATTTAAACATCAAAATAAATAAGTAAATGCAATGGCTTGAAACTTAGCAAATATGTTTAAAATTCATGAGTTAGTAATAATACACCAAAACCAAAAATCCTTTAGTTGGTCACCTTTGGAGAAGTTCACTTCTTCTGAAAACTGGTAAATAAAAGGGAAAAAATTAAGCATTTATACAGCTTTTTCAATACAAACTATATACATTCAAGGCAGCCAAACGGTTGATATGAGAAAGTTTTTCTTTAGAGAAGAATTCCAGTTAGTAAACGAAATGGGAATAAGAGAATTAAATAGAATCAATTCTAGTTAAATTAGTTTCAAAATAATAGATTGTATTTAATAAATCAATTTAACAAAATTGATAGTTTAATAAAGTAAATTAATTAAATTTAATAGATCACATTAATTAAATGGAATTAGTATATTAATAAAAAGAGTAAGAAATGTGTTTCCATGTGATGCAATCAGCCAAAACCAGCCTGTGGGAAACTCTACAGGACAAACAAGGTTTCTTCAACAAACAAACTGCCAGAAAAGTGAGGGAGATTTAAATATCTAAAAAAGACCCATCCACCCAATGCAATGTGTTGACCTGGTTTGGATCCTACAACACCTATGAGATAAGGAAATTTGAACACTGATCAAATATCTGATGATACTAAAGAGTGTTGATTTCCCGAGGCGTGATGCTGCATTGTCGGGTTTGGGTTTTTTGGGGGTTTCTTTGTTGTTTTTTTTAACGAGTGCTTAATTTTCTGAGGTACAAACTGAAATATTTGTGGATGAGATAATGTCTGGATTTTTTTCTAAAATAATTCCATAGGCAAGGGAGGAGCGGAGGGGGTATGGAAAAAGTAGGAATGGACATGTGTTGAAATTTGTTGAAGCTGGGTGACAGGCATATGTGAGTTCATTATACTAGTCTCTTTCCTTCTGTGTCTGTTTGAAAATCTTTGTACTAACACACACACACACACACAAACATACATCTCCAGAATCTATCTCCCCTGCCGGCACCGACATCGCTGGCCCGGACCTCTGCAGTAGCCTCCCCCTCACGGTGCCCCCTGCTTCCGCCCCTACAGCCTATTGTCCTCACAACAGCCAGAGGGAGCCTGTTAAATCCTAAGTCAGATCACGGCCCTCCTCCGCTGACCACCTCCTGCTCTCCAGTCGCTCAGAGTAAAAGCCACAGTTCTCTCCAAGGCCCACGAGACCCTACATGATCTGTCCCCCACCTGCTGTCTGACCTCACCTCCTGCTGCCCCCCCCAACCCCCCCAACACACACACTGCTCCTCGCTGTCCCTCACACATTTGTCATGGCCCTGCCTGGGGGACTTTGCACCTGCCTGGGATGTTCTTCCCCTAGTTACCCACGTGGTTCACTCTCACCTTCTCCAGATCTTTGCTCAAATCTCACTTACCACGAAGGCCTCCCCTGGCCACCTGTTCTAAACTCACAAACCTTCCCCCCACCCCCCGTGTGTGTGTGTGTGTGTGTGCGCGTGTGCGCGCACGCACACGCACACACATGTGAGACACACACACACTCCCCATCCCTTTTTTTCCTTAGCACCCATCATCATCTAAAATATCATATATTTTAACTATTATTTTGTTTTGTCCTGTCTCACTCCACCAAAATATAAATAAGCCCCAGGAAGACAGCTTTTTTGGTCGCTACCATATTCCCAGGGCCCAGAACTGCTTGGCACAATGCAAGCACTCAGTAAATATTTGCTAACATAACAAAGACTCAGGTGAATAACTGCACTCTGCCCCTCCGCCATCAGGTTCTGCTTTGGGGGGCCTCCCTCCGACCTAGGGTAGACCTGGAGCAAGTCAGCCCCCGCCACCCAGTCTCCCATTGGGCTGTCCATCCAGAGGCTGCCAGGGCCTGCTTACCTGAAGCGTCATCTGAGGCCACGGACGGAGAGGGGTAGGGGCCACCAGGGGACCCACCGACTCCTGGACACTAGGGCGCTCTGCTGGAGAGAAGAGAAGGGTAGTGTTGGGGTGAGGCGGGTGTGCAAGCAGGCCTGGTTTAGTTAGAAAAGGCTGCTCCTGGGGCTACTTGGCAGCTTTGCCTCTGAGGCTTTCTGTGACAGTCTAAGACAGAGGGAACCTCCTAATTCATGTAGAGAAAACAGAGAGAAAGAAAGAAAATGGTAAACATAAGGTAAAACCCCCACAGCCCGCCAAGTGCTTACCCATAGAAGGGGTGCTGTCCTTCGCACTCTTCACCCTCAGCTCTTCCTCAGTAGGCCTAGGGAGGGGGACAAAGGGGAGAATCCATGGATCTGATGTCCCGAGAGGCCAGTTCTGCCACCCACCGGCACCTTCCGAGCCTCTGTGGTGGCCCACTCCTAAGTGACGGTGGCCGTCTTCCCTTCTGCCACCTCTTTTTACTCCCCCCGTTAGAAAAGTCCTACAGACGCGTTGTAGAAATGTTATGAAACACAGGAAAGCGTAGAGAAGGGAAAAAGTCACACATCAGCCAGAGGCCAACACTAGTACCATGTTGGAAAAGTTCATTCCAGACATTCTACAAAACCAACTTAGGTTCTGCAGACAGCATTTCGCAGCTGGCTCTGTCCGTAACCATAAGCAGAAGCATATACCCTTTTGTCAACATTTGAAATGGCTGTTTGCGCTCACAGCGGCTCACCGTAACGTATGTAACCTGTTCCCATCCTCCTGAGCGGCTAGGTTGTGGCCTTCATTTTGCTCTCACGAAGCGGACTCCAGCAGACATTATTGGGCATGGCTTTAGGAGCATTTTGGATTGTTTCTTTAGGGTATATCCCTAGCCGTAGAGGGACCCGCTTTTTCCAAGAAAGGGCAGGTGAGGACTGGGGGACTCAGAAAGCAGCAAGGGGGAGGGACGAAGCAATTGGAGAACAGCGAGGAGGCCAGCAGAAAAAGGAAGTAACCCGGGCTCACAAAGACCTGGGTCCCTCCACCAATCCTCCACCCGTCACCCTATCAGCCTGGCCGAGCACCTAACCTTTCAGAGCCTCACCCTTCTCACCTTAAAAATAGCACAGGACAGCCAGGATGTGCACACCAAGCACAGGGCAGTCAAGGCCATCGAGGCAGACACTGGGGCCTGGCATGGAGCGGGGGCTGAATCGACTGCAGATATTCATTAAAGTTGGTCCTTCTCCGCCAGGCAAGTCAGGCCCCGAGGTCTAAGTGGCATAAGGCAAGTGTATTTCAGCCAGTCTCTGCCAGGGGTGGGTCACAGGGATCATGGAGAAATCGCTGTTCTCATTCTCAGAAATGAGTACCAAATGTTTACCGATGAAGGCAAATGAGAGGGAAGCGTTAACAAAAACATGAGCAGAGACTGAGAGGAGCTGAGGCAATTGCTCAGACCTTTTCGTTCCGAAAAGGTATTATGATGATGTTGACATTTCTGCAGATGGTTTCAACTTTTTGAAAACACATAATCAATTACCTCACAGAAGCCGAGGATCGCTAGCTGACCTGAAGAGAATACCTACTATGATGTTCGGCACTGTTCTGTGTGCTTTCACGTATATGAATGCAATCCTCACAACAATCCTGTGAGGTAGGTACTTTTAATCCTGTGAAGTAGGTAGTATTATCTTCCGCATCTCGCAGATGATGACGCAGAAGCCGAGGAAACCGGCTCAAGGTCAGGCAGCGAGGACCAAAACCTAAGCCTTCTAGCTCCCATGTCTAAATCCAGGCTCTCAATCAACAAACTGCCACTTCCCAGACAAGGGAAACTGGGGTCTTAGCCCAACCCCATCTCCGATCCTTTCCAGAAGTAGATAGAGGGGGGCAGCAATAATAGACAAGATCTCTCCCTCTTCTTTCATTCAGGCTTTTCTTTGGACCTGCCTTTTGCCCACATATTCATTCCCAGTTTCCCTGCCTTCATGGGACATGTGGCTAGGTGACCACCAGACACGGAAGTGGCGGCAAGGTCCCTCAGGGAGGAAATTTGAGCCAGGTACATGGATCTAGAGTCTGGAAGCTCCAGAAGGGGCCGTCTGTCTTTCTCCACAGACTAGGGCTCGTGCGTCTCACCAAAGGTATTTGAATCCGAATATTACAAGGCCCTGGAGTGAGTGACTCCAGAAGCCTGGCCACGAACTCCCGAGCATCACAGGTAAGAAAGGGGGATTTGGAACAAACCAGCTTGGTCCTGCACCAGTCCCCCCAGTAAGTTTAAAATCCAGGTCTTTGGACTTGTGGGCCCAACACAATTTCTACAGACTTCTTTTGCTGGCGTAGTCCTTCACTAGAGAAAATGTCACCTTTCTAGGATCTTCTAAAGCAAGCTTCTTCAAGAAGACCCACAAACAGAAGGGCAGCCCTCCCTCCCAGGGGCAGGACTAGCAAGCCGTCTCCTGCCATCTGGCCCAGTGTTGAAATACCATTCCAGAGTCCTAAATGTATGTGAGAGAGAAAAAGTGTGGGGGGGGGGGCAACCACAGGATGCAGCCAACCAGAAGGAAAAGAATTCCACAGTTCAGCTGAAGGAAGAAGAGAGAGAAGAAAAACAAATACAAAACAAATCTCTCAGCCCCCAGAGCATCTCTTCTGCAGCTGAGGAGCGTGAGAAGAGGGGGAGCTTCCAAAAATCAGGTCAAGCAACTCAGCCGATCCCAAGATCCACAAAGTCAGCAGAAGTACACAGGGTGCTCTCCATACCTCTGAAGTCAGAGAGATGAAAGCAGAAGGCACAAGCATTTATCGTTCATCTCCTCCAACGTGGGCCCTTTTCATTGATACAGCAAGTCATTTGAAAACCTTCACATCTATCCTTCAAAGCAGCACCCTTCCCTTTTTACAAATGCGGAAACTAAGGCTCAAGGAACCGTGTCTCTCCACCCACTAACTACACACCACACTGATAACAATCCAAAGAGGGCTCCATTTTGAAGACAGTGTTCGAAACCGTGGGCTAAAAAAAAAGAAAAAAGAAAAAACCTAAATATCCTTGAACTGTCTTTCACAGTAAACATTCAGGGGCAGCTATGACTTTAATCAAAAGGAGGATAGTAAGAGAAATGGAGTACAAGTGCATACTGACTCATTGATCAGTAACAGAGAAGAGGGGTTCTTAGAAAAATGGGGAGGGAGGAGATTAAGAACAAAACTGTACCTCCAGGGTGCTTGCTAATTTTCGAGAAGGAAACCTGCTCTTTTGGCACCAGCCCCACAAATGCCACGTGCTATCTCCTCAAGGGCAGTAGGGAAGTAGTGGGCCGGGGACAGGCCCGGGAACCTGGGCCTGCACCTGGGATGTATTCTTGGGGTGTTCTCGAGAATTAGTCAAGACAGTGCAGCCTAGAAGGGGCCACACCAGTCTCCTAGGCATGAAATTCCTCCTGCCATCAGGAAACTCAATGACTGCTGACCTCAGACAACATCTGGGGAGACTGGAAGGTGAGATTTCAGAAAGAGGTGCCATTGGCCCCAGCCTGGGCCAGCCAAGACAGAACAAAAATGTCAATCACCAGAGTGCGAGCGGGGGAGGGCTGACAACCCCCAATGGGCAAGAGCAAAGCAGACTTTCAGAGCAGTCACATCACTGCCACCACCACCCCGAGTCCTCTGGGAGCACCCCCGATGCTGTTTTCAAAGAACTTGGCCAGCCCTAAGTGGGTCACGCACTGAAACCCAAAGGGAAACTCAGCAGACCCCAGCTCCCATGTAGTCAACTCGAAGATAATGCTGACTCTCCAAGGGGTCAGGTGGCCTCAGAAACCTGCCCCACGATACTTGGAATCCCGGTTACCCCAAGCCATCTGCTCTCTGAAGAGCAGGGTTTGAAGCAGGTGTGAAAGCCACCACATTGTGGGGGCATTGCTCTGCCTTCCCCAACTAGGGTCTGTGTCAGTGTCAACTCTGGGACTTAGAGCCCATCCAGCAGGGTGGGAGGAAGGAGAGCACTTTATCGTCGCCATGAGCTTCCTTCATGGCAGTGACTTCATTCATTTGGCAGTGACCCACAGTAAGAAATACATTTTACATCATAAGCCAGCACACCCATACATGTGTAAATATACATACTTAAAGAGAACTGGAAAACAGTTGTTCTTTGAATGAAACGGCACTTACCTTTACTATGGGTTGTGAGGCACACTGATCATTTCCTATGCTAGTTCTTTTTCTTTAATATTCATTGGGATCCAGGAAATTGATTTCACAGTTCAATAAAGGGTCAGGACATGTCACTTTGAATAACCTCAGCTCTGCCACCTACCAGCTGTGTGACCTGGAGCAAGTCACTTAACCTCTTGATGCCTCGTTTCCTCCTCCATAAAGAAGGTATAACGGTAATAGCTATCTCAGAGGGCTGTGGGGTGGATTGAGCAAATAGTGGAACATCGCCTATTAAGTGCTAACAAACAGCGATCCCCTCCAAATTCCCACTGAGGGAAACTGAGGCTCTGAAAAGGAAAGCAACTTGCCTGGCAATGCCCCGCTTGGTAAGACGCACCACCCAGCCTGGTACAGCCTTTAAGAACTGGGGAACTAGAGCAGGGCCGCCCTGGCTCAGAGCCCAGCTCCGCCACTTCCATAACATGTGGCCTCAGTCCACATCCTTAACCATGATGCCCTACCAGTTGTCTGTGGAGTAAAAAAGGATCGCTTTCTCACTAAATCCTGACTTTCCAGACAACCAAGATGGCCCTTGGCCTGTCCTGTCTCAACTTTGATTGTTCTGGTTTCCCCTAAGACTGCCGACTCAGAGAGCAAGTTGGGTCCCCATCTATTCAGCAACAGGTGACCTAAAAATCATTGAGGCCTTACTGTGCATCGGCCCAGTTGACAAACCCTGGAGACACAATGGTGAGCACACCCAACTAGGAAGCTGAGAACTTCATGTGGAGGAAGACATTTAAAAAAATAACTCACACTCATTCTTTCAACAAACATTTATTGAGCACCTGTTAAGTGCCAGGTACCATGGCAGGCCCTGCAGGAATACAGTGGTGAACAAAAAGCAGACCATGTCCCTACCCCTCACGGAGCTTACAGGCTAAGAGGGCAGAGAGGGTCATCCAATAATCCCCTAATGAAGGTCTAACTACAAACTGAGGTCAGTGCCTTCAGGAAAGGAAGAATGCCCTGGAACAAAGGGCCCTGGCCCAGACTCCAGGGTCAGGATGGGCTTAGGATGCTTAGAAGGAAGAGAAGTAAGGGAGGGGTTGGGGAGAGGCCTCTCAGGAACACTGTTGGGGAGGTGATGATTCGATCTCGAATGCGGGACGCATCTTTGGGACATCAGCCAAGTGGAGACACCGAGTCTGGCTATGTGAGGCTGAAGGAAAGAGCAAGGAGAAGGGCCAGGGGGTTAAGAGGAAAAGCAGCAGAGCGTGGTCCCAAGGCAAGGGAAAGACCATGTTTTAAGTAGGAGTGCTCAACCACTTCAAGAAGAAAACCAAAAACCACCTCTGGAATCTGGCAGATGTGGGGGGCTGAAGCAAATGGAGAAGGAGAGTGTCAGCAACTCTTCAGAGGGGGGTGAGCAATGAAGAGGAGGGGGGGTGGTTAGGTGCTGGCCGGGAGCAGGAGGGACAGAGGGGAGGTCAAAGGACAGGTTTTTCAGACAGTAGAGATGCTAGCGTGTATAAGGGCCAAGAGAGAGGATCAGTGAGGAGGGCGGTGAAAAGCTGCCAGGAGAGAAGGGGTCAAGTTCTGGAGCAGGGAGCAGAAAATGGAACCCAGGGCACAAGTGGGGGGACTGGCCTGAGGGAGTAAAAGGGCCCCCTCCTCCCCTGTAACACAAGGGAGGGAACTTAGTTTGCAGGCTTGGGGGCTGCGAGCTGTGGGGAGTTCCATTCTTACGGCTTCGTTTTGTTTTTTGAAGCAGGAAGTAAAGTCTGAAGGTAAAGAACATCTGAAAAGAGTCAGAGCAAAGTGGAGACAAGAGTGGATCAGAAAAATAGATGAGGACTGCCAGGCAGGGTGGGAAATGATCTTAAAGTTGTGGCCACACACACTTGTTCTGCTACGTGACATTCTCTGGCAGGGCTCGCCTGATCCACGCTATTGAGAACATCGGGGCCTGAGGATGTTGGGATGGGCAGGCTTCCCAGGGGAAGCACTCTTAGAACCGAGGGATCAAAACGAGGAGACCGCACGGAGCACAGGACCAACATTCCTGGTGATGGAAAACAGCATGGGCAAAGGCCCTGAAGCAGTAAGGGGCAAGGCACCTTGTTAAGACCACGGTGATAGGGGCTCAGAAGGCAGAGGATGGTGGGACGTGAGACTAGCAGCTGCGGAGGCCAGACTCGGGGACAGGGCAGGAGGGTGCTTGAGGGCCATGCTGAGGCTTTCTTGGTCTTTCTTTCTAAGAGGGACAGGACACCTCCTAAGGGTGTTAAGCCAAGGCAGATCAGGAGGGCTCCTCCCGACACCAGCCCTAGGACTCTGGACTCTGGGAGCCTCAGTTTGCTCATCCAGGAAAGAGGGATAAAACAGTCTCTCTCTCAGGGAATGTTGAAAGAATTAGATGAGGCCTTTGCACACAAACCCTCAGCACAATGCCCAGCACAGAGCAGGGTCTCTGCCAAGCGTCACACACACCAAGCCCTCCGTCCCTGCCTCGCCCACCTGGCTCCACCACAAAACCTTTGACAGCTTACTGCCAGTCTGCATCTTTTTCCCTGTTTGAACCTAGCACCGTGCCCAGCACATAGTAGGCCCTCAACAAGTGCTTGTTGATGGATCATCTCGAAGCCTAAGAGTTAACAAAAGCCTGGTCCAGCGATACAGGGAATGCAGCCATTTTCCGGTTTCTGAGCTGTATTCCCATGGCTACCACAGACTTCCCCTGTGCCCCCCACCTGACGTGGCCATGCCTGGTACAGGGGGGGGCCTGCAGCCGGCACTTGTGAAGAAGAAGCCCTCTGCCACGGGGCTCCCGCACGTTCGGCCTTCCCCCCTGAGATCGGCTACCGGTCCCCAAGAGGGCTGGGTGGCAGGGGGTAGCTTTTCTTCAACAGCGCTCCAAGTCACTGGCAGCACACAGCTTTTAAAACAATAATAAGTTGAAATGTACTCGCCAAGAAAGCCACCGACCTACAAAGAAAATCTTACCGCTGATCTTGCAATGAGCACCAACCTCCCCTTTGCAAGAGCTGAGATCAAAAGATAAAGAAGCTATCAAAAAGCCATCTGCCCACTTAAAATAATATCACAAGTCATGTTAGGAACCACAGACCTGGGGCCAGATACCAAAACAATTGTCTGAACGGGCTGCTTCAATTTCTCCTTAAAACCACCCATGTATTTTAAAAGAAAAACACCCTCTCCACCCACCTTGGCCCTGCGAGCTTTTGATTTCTCTGGTTCTCTTCCTTTTACACTCTAAAATGACCAAACTCTTGCTACCCAAACTGTCACATCTTACAGACAGGGCTCCCACGACAGCCACCTGGGAAGACAACTTGGGAAAAGTGACAGCAATGAAGGCGATTCTGGGCACTGGGACCACTCCAAACCTTGATCTGGGTGATGGCTACACAAGCACATGTATGTAAAAATCCACTGAGCCCTATACTTAAGATCAGTACACTTTGTATACCTCAAAAAAAGCAAAGAAAGCGAGAGAGAGACAGAAAAGAGTGATAAAGAGAAAGAGAGAGAGAAGTTAAAAGGAAAGCATGACCTGCTGGGAACACCAGGAATGAAATGCAGAATTTTTCCTGAACCCTGTCAGACCTTCCAGAGGAGTAGTAAAAAAAATAAAAAGTGTACCAGCGGGCACCTGGGTGGCTCAGTTGGTTAAGCGACTGCCTTCGGCTCAGGTCATGATCCCGGAGTCCCAGGATCGAGTCCCACATCGGGCTCCCTGCTCAGCAGGGAGTCTGCTTCTCCCTCTGACCCTCTTCCCTCTCGTGCTCTCTCTCATTCTCTCTCTCAAATAAATAAATAAAATCTTAAAAAAAAAAAAAAGTGTACCAGCATGTCCTCCCTGGTCCTGTCACTCACTAGTTGAGTGGACTTGAGCAAGCTGGCTCACCTCCCCGAGCTACCTCAGTCTCCCCCTTTATTAAATGTGCATAATCAGAGCACCTATACCACAGAGCACGCACAGCAGGACTCAGGAGAAAACCGACTTGAAGCTGCCAGCACAGAGCTCAGTAAACGCTGGCCACTACTCTTTTCCACAGCTACCACCATCCTTCAGTGCCTTGCCCATGTTTGCTGCATTCAATCCAACCAAAAGTGACTGTCATTCCCCTTTAACAGATGAGAAGACTGAGGCTTACAGATGAAGGAACTGAGGCAAGGCCACACAGCAGGTGATGGGCAGAGCAGAGTTTGGGAGGGGTATCCAAGGAACTGTATGTGTGATTCCCTAAATATAAATATAAACACTAGCTAACACTTGCTGGCACTGCTACGAGCCAGATTTGGTTCTGAGTGCTTTTACTCGTCTCCTCTACAGTAGGTGTTGTAATTGTCTGCTTTACAGGTGAGGGTATTAAGCCACGGTGCGGTTAAATGAGTTAGCCAAGGTCACAAAGCCAACAGACGGCAGGGCTGCAATTTGAACGGAGGCACTCTGATGTCAGAATCCATTCTCTTAACTCTGTAAGGAAAGGCACGCTGCCTGCCCCCTTTGGACTAAGTCTCAGATTACTGTGGGGCTCACAGGTCGGTAAGTGGGTACTTGCCTGCTTGCTCACATACCCAGGCACACCCGCCCACCAGCCCCAAGCTAGACCTTTCTGAACCACTCACTCACAGCCTAAGGCCTTGCCAGGATCACAAACATCTTGCTGCAACCAGAGGCTTCTGATCAAGCATATACAAGGTCCAGAACACATTTTCCCATTCCCATTTCCAGTCCTCCCAGAAGCAGAGAAATGTATGCATTTCCCACACGTGCACAGAGACTCTACTTATCCCAGGCTAGGCTTAGGTGACCCCCACCACACACCAAAAGAATCAGGCCTAGCTGCTACCTTCAAAGAACTCCTAGCTTGACTGAGAAACTCTAGTCTCCTATGAGGCCTCCTGGGGTTTACTGGCCCCTTCTCCCAGGCTCTGAATGGTCACAGGCAAAAACAAAGGACAAGAGCTTTGAGTCCAGGCCCACCTGGTTCTGCGTCTGCCAGAGTCACTGCTTCCCTGTGAAAGCACAGACTCAGCCCCTCAATCCTGCAGGAGGCCTCGCACTAGATTAGAACGTAACAGTAAAGAGATGCACAGGCTTCAAGGTCAGCCATGGTGGAACTGGAAAAGCGGGGTGCCATCACTTCCTCAAACAGTTTCGCCCTCTGGAACCCTGGTTTGCTGCTCTGTCAAATGGGGATCAGATTCCCTGTCCCCCACTGGCAAGGCCCTTGGTCCACCCTACTAGGTCACTGAAGTTCTGTCCACTCCAGCACACTGCTCACCATTCACACCAGGCTCAGGCTCACCTCAGGACCTTTGTACTCAGTTCCCTCTGCCTAGAACACCTTTGCTCCCGTACGTGTGCATAACCATTCTTCCTTTATCATTCAGGACTCCGTTTAAGTGGCACCTCCTCAGCACAGTCCTCCCTGTTCTTTTTTCTACAAACTCTCCCCACCCCACCCCCCATATATCTGCGCATGACTCTTCTTCCCATCATCCAGGACTCACCTCCTTAAAGGCCTTCCCTGAACACTGGAAAGCAGCTATTCCCTCCAAACTATCCCCTTACCCTATTTCACTCTCCTCTCAGCAACTATCTTACCCCTCTGTATCTTATCTGCTTGCTTGTTTTTTTCAAACCCTCTCCCATCGGAGCCTACATGATCTTTGAGGGCAGGCAAGATGTCTGTCTTGATCAAGGGTTCTACAGTGGAATTCAATAAATGAATGAAACCCCCGTAATTAAAACAGAGCCTAGCATATGTTTGGCCTCCGTTACTCTTGGACTGCCTGAACGCGCCCTCCTCCCTGTCCTGGAGAGCAGGCCTGAGGGGTTCCAGGGTCGGGATGCCGGTCCTCCATCCTAGACACAGCCCTGCGTTGGCGGAGGTGGCGCTGGCAGACATTACCTGCGCCTCACCGGCTTCATGCAGCTCTTCAGCTGCCTGGCCTCAGCCTCCACGGGACCCTGGCACTCGGGCTGTGGCTCCAGCTGCTGCAGCTGCTGCTGCTGGGGCAGCCCTTCGGCATCAGTGGGTGTGGGAGCGGGTGCGATCCGGAGCAGGACTGTGTAGTTGCGGCCTTGGTTGTTGGCCCAGAAAGTGCCCTCGGGGGTCTCATAGCGCACCACGAAGTCCAGGCGCGCCCCATCGCCCGCGCCCTCAGCAAAGGGCAGCTGGAAGGCAAAGCGGTCAGTGCGGCCGCCGTCGTCGGGCGAGGAGGCGGACGCCTGGCCAGGGCCCAAGCCCAGGCCCAGGCCGGGATCCAGGATGGGATCTCCTGCTCCTGGTCCTCCCGCTCCTGCCCCCGGCGGGCTGCGCGGGACGTAGCGCGCTGGGTGGTCGCAGAAGGAAGCCCAGCCGTCGTGTGAGGCCCGCACGTGCACCGCCTTCTCGAAGGAGCGGTTCAGCACGCGTACCAACCCGCGCAGCACCGGCGGGCGCCCCCCAGGCACCCACACCCCGGCACCCCCGGGGACCGCTCCGGGAGGCGGCAGCAGCGCCTCCAGCTCCACCATGACGCGCCCCAAGCGCTCCAGACGGCCCGGCGCGGGCGGCAGCGAAAATGTGGGCACCAGGTAAAACCCCCCGCCAGCGGGGACGGGGCACAGCGGCGAGGGCGCAGGGCCAGCCTCCTCTTCCTCCTCCCCTTCATCCCCATCCTCGCCATCGTCGTCCTCGTCAGCCCCGCCGCCGTCGCCATCTTGCCCGGCCGCCGCCGCCATCTTGCCCGCCCCGGGCCCGCCCCACGGTCGGTAGCGGCGCAGCTGCGCCAGCGGCAGCCCCAGGGCCTCGTCGGCGAACAGCACTCTCCGCGGGGCCACCGCCGCCTCCACAGAGGTGCGGGGCTCGCCCGCGGCCGGCGAGGGGGGCGCGGGATGCCGCAGCGGGGGCTCCACAGGGGCCGGGCGCGCCATGTCGGCGGCGGCGGCGGCACCGACGGCACCGGTGGCGGGACCGGCGGGGGCAGGGCCTGAAGGGGCGGGCAGCCAATGGGAAGGCCAGCGCGGGGGGGTACGGCTCACGGGGGCTGTAGGCGGTGAGACGAAGACAGGTATAGCAGAAAGCCAATAGGGAGCCGCGCACGGATGACGTAGCGGTGAAGCGAGTGCGGGAGAAGCACGCAGCCAATGGGGATGCCCGAGAGTGGGCGGTGCGGGAGGCGGGATGATCAGGGAATCAATGGGGAGGCCTAACTAGGGGTGGTGCGGGGTCCGGGATGGAAAGCGCAAGAGTAGGACAGCTAGTGCGGGAGTGTGAGCGGGAGCGGCATGTGTGCGGCGGGGAAAATAGAATGACTACAGGCGATGGGGGCAGCGGGGAGCGAACGGAGCGGCCCGAAAAGCAGGAGATCCCTTGGTTGCGTAGGCGCTGGGACGCGAAGACAGAGACTGCGAATAGCCAATGGGGAGCCACGCGCCCAGTGGCGTAGAGGAGATGACGAAAAGATAATGGCTACAGCGAGCCGGTGGGGAGTCGTGTGAGCTTGCACTCTGCCTTCAAGAGGCGGTGCTAGGGCTGAACTAGCGAATACGAAGGCTAGAAAGAGACCCAAGAGGCGGTGTAAGGGCGGCCTCGGAGGCGGGACTGGAGGGGCAGGGCCAATGGGGGTGGACGGCGGAGGCGGGAGCTAGGAAGAGAGAGATGGTGGCTAGCCAATGAGGGAGCCAGAATGAAGGCAGTTGAGACCTCAAAGGGTAGGGCTAGAACGAAATGAACCAATGCCAAGGCTGCAAAGTCTAGCGGGATGGAAGGACACGGAGGCGGAACGGGCAAGAGCAGAGCCAACCGGGGTGTTGGAGGTTGTGTGAAGGAGGGGATGGAACAGCCAATAAAGGGGCCAGAGGTGGCGGTCTGGGCTGTAGGGTGGCTGGGCCGCAGGGCCGTAAAATGCACGCAGCCGTTGGGAAGAGTATGCCTCTTGTGGTTGGATAATACCATCTCCTTAGCCCTCCGTGACTTTTCATTGCCCCAGGGCTGTGAATGCCGAGTCCCTGAAGACCTAGACCGCACCCTAGTGTGAGGTCTAAGAAAGCAAAACGGACTCTCCTGTCGCTGTAACTGGGTCTTTTCCTGCCCACCTGGGAACCCTTGCTTGAGCAATGCCACTAGCCAAGAATGTTCTTGATTGTCACCCTCAGCATTCTCCAGGACTTGGCACCATTGTTGAATGAATGGCCAAATGAAAAATTGACCTATTCTGGAAAATGAGCTTTTTCAGACTTCAGCTCAGCAAAACACTGAGCCCGACTGTATGGCGCCAGGAGTTGGTTGGACACGTTGGCAGACATCTAATGTAATCACAAACCAAAGGCCTGCCTTTCTTGCCCCACTGGCACTCCACACCCCAAGGTGGCCTCACTTCCCTCTTTCTGTCCCCCATCTCTGCTCCTGCCGTTCCCTCTGCCACAGCGCTGCTCCTGCTTCCTCACCCTTTCCAATCTCCTTTGAGGTCCTGCCTCCTGTGGGAACTGAAATGTGGCTTTGTCCACTGAGCATGGCCCTTCGTACATTTCCCCCTCCATCCTGGGAGGGTTTTCTAACACCTACTGTATGCAAGGTGCTGACGTGCAACATCCTGAGAGGAGGTCTCCCCAGTAGCCTCCCCCTCCTCAGGTCTCAGTGTCCAGGGCGGGGTCATGGATCAGGAAGGAATATGTTCAGTTGCAAGCAACAGGGGAAAAAAAAAATCACAAAAGAATAGGGGCTTAAACAAGATAGAATTGGAGGGGTTTCTTCTGACTTTTAGTTAGGGCATTATCTGTGTCCCGGTCTGGCCCCACGGCTCTCAGCCTTCAGCAAATTCTGTGCACTCTCCATTCAGAATGTTTCGTGAATCCAGCCTCCCCTCACCCCCTCCATTGCCAGCACCATCATCAGTCACTGGACTACTGCGGTAGCCTCCTCATGTCTGGTGCCCCTGCTTCCATCTTCACTCCTACAGTCTGTTCCATACTCTGCAGTCAGAGGGATCCTCTTAAATCCTAAGGCAGTTCATGTCTCTTCTCTACTCACAACCCTCCTGTGGCCTCCTCCTCACTCAGAGTAAAAGCCAAAGTCCTTACCACGGGCTACAAAGTCCTGCAGGGTCTAAGCCCCACATCTCCTCTCTGACCTCACCTTCTACCCCTCTTCCTCTCACTTACACCACTCTAACCACACTGACCACCTTCGTAGACCTAGAGCGAATCACACACTCCCACTCAGGACTTTTGAGCTGGCCGTTTCTTCTGGAATCGCTCAGATATCTCCATGGCTCCATCCCTCACCTCCTTCGAGTGTGTCAAAGTGCCCCCACCCCCACCCCCCTTCTCTGGGGACTCTCACAGACCTGTCTGTGTAATCCCGTGTACTCTCCCCCAGAGGCCTTCCACGCAAGAGGATATAGTCCAGTACGGAGAGAGAGGAGGTGGTGAGCTCTGCCCCTCTCTGCCCACTCGACCCCCCAGCCCTTACTCTGCAAGGGTCCTGGCTCTCAGCAGCAGCAGCGTCACCCCCCCCCTACCCCGAGTCCCACTCAAGTGACCTCCTGGAACCCTGGGCCACCACCCTCACTCAGTCATCCCCCTACTTCTCTGGCCACTCCTCTCCTGGAGCGAATGAAAGTAAGGGAGAGATGGTCTAGGGAGGGTATAAAGAGGATCCAGCACACACCTCTGACCCTATAAAAGAAAACCAGCCCCCTCTCTCAAAAGGGGACAGGTCCTGCGGCAAGGAATGAGGCTTCAGCCTCTAGAACTGGCCTAGTTTATAGTTATACAGGAAGTATAAGGAATGTTCAGACCCAAGTCCATGCGGAGCAAGGGAACATTAGCCTTGGGAACATCCCTAAAGGTAGCTCCCCAAAACTCCTGGTGAACAAGCGCCTCACACCCACTTGCTCCCAACCACATGCCACACCTGTTAAGCCCCTTGCAAGCCTCCAACCTGAGGACCTCATCCCACTTCGGTGCCTCTCCTGGCTGCCCAGTGCACACAGGCCATCTTTGGGTCTCAGATGTGTCCCACCAACTCAGAAACCTCAACCAGTGAAAGTTTTGTTTTGAACTAATGGTAGGGAGGGTTGGGTTTTTTTTTTTTTTTTTTTTTTTTAAGATTTTATTTATTTATTTGACAGAGAGAGATTTCTTATCTTCACAAAGCCAGACCATCAGGCCCCCTCTGGGCTTTTCCAGAAAGGTGAGTCAGAGTTAAGGAAAGAGGCTCTCCTTTTTTTCAGGGCTTGGGAAGTGGGGGGCGGGGAGCGGGGAAGGTGAAGGGGCAAAGGGGTGGGTCTTGGCCACTAGGTTGGTACCATGTGAATAAAAAGCGGTTTCCAATTTCTCTTCCCCAGGCCTGAAGCCAGTCTTGCAGAGGGCTTGGAGTAGACATTGGATGACAGAACCCTGGGCCATGCAGGGCGCTGAGGAGCCGGGGGCTGGGAGCGGCAGCCATGACCTCTCAGGAGAAGGCCCTGGGGCCCGGTCTCCCCTGTTGACCGCTGGTTAAAGAGGGCTACTGCTCAAGTATGGAAATGCAGCACCAATTCTTGGACAACCATAAAACCTTACAAGCTTCAAGCCCCCAGAGGAATCTCCAAATCTCAGAACTTCCCTGTCACTGCAGCCTAGAATTTAAGACCCAAGACTGTTTGGCCCAAGGAAACCTGGGGGTTTTTAAGCCCTCCCGGCACCAAAGAAGGCAGAGCCCCCACTTGCCAGCTCTGTCATCTTGGGCAAGTCACTCAACTACTTCGTGCCTCTGTATAACGGCCATGATGACAAGATGGACCGCAAAGGGCTGTGGTGAGGATTGAATGTGATCACTTGGGAGAATCGTCCAGCACGGTGTCTGGCCCATGGAAAATTGGAGATAAATGTCAGCTATGGGGATGATGATGGATCTATGGCATCTGAAAAGCTTGGAAACTGGGGTTTTTCAAAGTAGAAAATTGCAAAGGCTGAGGGCCTCAGAAGCATCAGGTCACAGTGTCCCTGACTAGGAGAGGGTCGGGGCCCCAAGGGGCCTCTGGGCTTCATGAGGACGGATGCATTAACACCGGGGGGCTCATCAGGACCTTCCCTGTAGGGTACCCTCCAGGTTAGAGCTCTCAGGCCCTACGATGTGATGAGACGAGACTTTTCTCCCTCTCCTCACTCGGTGATGCTAAGTGGATTCTGGGAGCCAGTGATTCTCAGACTGTTAGATTCTGTGACTTGTGCATTTTCCTCTGTGAAATAACTTCCATGTTCCTCTCGGTGGGGAGATGGATTGCAGAGCTCCCCCTCCCTGGGCAGTAAGAGCAGTGATGACCATCAATTCTACCTAAGGGGAAACTGAGGCATGGAGCAGGGCAAGGCCTCTGGAAACCCAGCCCTATTCAGTTTCTTTCCCTGGTTTTTTTCCCATCCCATCACATTCACAGAGTGGTATCTCTGCCTGCTTGGGACACCTCCGTTTTTCATTTGTTTTTTTTTTTTTTTTGCTTCATTTTTGTTTTTTTGTTTGTTCATTATTTTTGTTTTGTTTCTATGTTATTTTTTCTCTTTCTTCTTTTCTTTTCTGGAGAAAAAGACAAGATGGAGGAATTCAGCCCAAAAGAAAGTACATGAGGTAGAACTCTTGGCCAGGGATTTAATCAATACAGAGAAAAGTAAAATGTCTGACCTAGAATTTAAAACAATGATTTTAAGGATACTAGCTGGGCTTGAAAAAAGCATAGAAGACACTAAGGCATCTTTTACTACAGAGATAAAAGAACTGAAATCTAGTCAGACTGAAATTTAAAATGCTATAACCAAGATGCAAACACAAATGGAGGTCATAAAAATGAGGATGGACGGAGCAGAGGAGTGAATTAGTGATACACAAGATAAAACAGTGAAAAATAATGAAGCTGAAAAGAAGAGGGAAAGTAATGGACCATGAAAGTAGGCTT